TTGGCAGACAATTATTCAAGACATAAGCTTCTTACAAATAATTTCAACAATTTTTACACTCCACTGACCCGCTGGTCTAGACCTGCAGTCAGACAAGATTTACTATTACCGATATTGCTATAAAACAAGTAAGTAAGCCAACGGCCATACAATATTTATACTATTCAGAAACAAACTAAAAAAAAAGTTTTAAGAGTCATTTTTTGGAATTGTCATTTTGACAGTTATTATATAATTTTTCTATTGTCATGCCCCACTTAACTTATATTACATCAGGATATTTATTTCTCAAAATTTATAGTAAATTGTTATTTTTAACATTGAATGACTGCGAATTATAGTAAGAAACCTCGATGAAAGACTTCATTTCAGCTTCACCTTTTAACTCATCTCGAATTTCGCCCGACTATAATGTTATACGGATTTGTCAACAAGAAATTACCACCTAGGATTTGAATTTTTAGGAAATTTACGTTTTTCATGTTGTTTGTAACTAGAATTTTCAGAAGTAATTTTGAATGCCTAGGGGTAACTTGTTGTTGACGGTTGACATTTTCTGTCAACCTGCTGTCAACTAGCAATTGGGTTATCTACACAAGCTGACAGGTGACTTAACCTAAATTTTTGGCACTAGTTACGATATCTTTTGTTTGTCACCACAAACCAACCTAACCTATTCACGAATATCCCTAAATTCTAGGGAGTAATTTCTTGTTGATACGATAATAATATTAAAGCTCTCCCGTACTTGGTATGTAATATACTATTATTTACAATCACTGTAGTAATAAGTCGAATCCTAAGGTCGGTAAATACATTATTACATCCCTTGGTCAGGAGATAATTTATGTACGATTATCAAGCTTACGCAGTCAACAAATTTTAAAAACGCAATTTATTCTTCGACACTGTCAAAATTTATGGTTTTTCTCCCGTGTAAGAAGGTTTTGACAACTTTTTGGCATTTCTCAATATGAAACGTCAAATTATTTTTAACAGATTTAAAGCACGTTTAAGCCTTGTTGAGTCTAATTCGAAGAATAAAATGTTGTATTTAACTTGTTTGAGTGTAAATCCGACGCCTTATTCCACCTCGTGGATGGTAAACCACTTGTACACTCGTGGTTTAAAAATCCACTCGGTCAAATAAACCGATTTACACTCACACTCGTCGAATAAATAACTATTATTTACACCACACAGATATTTAATTATTATTTAAACAAAATGTGTTTTTTAAAAAAAATATCATACAAACTTTAATGGAAATTACATTACACCCTCGCGCTCTGTTTAAGTCGTCGAAGTAATAAAATGAGATATTTTCTTATTTTCTTTCTCTGTTGTAATATACCTACCATTTCATGCCAAGCTAAAATTTAAAATATGAGTCGTATTAAAAACAAACCCTCGTTAATGTTCATTTCTAATAATGCCATAAAATTAACATAACCATTAAAAAACTACTATTTAAAAATAATATAGCATTGTATAAATTTCAGATAAAAAATGAGTTTTATGAGTGTATTATACAATGAGACCATAAACGAATGAGTTTTGTCGATAACACTTTTCTGATAACATCTAACAAAATCTTACTCTTGATATACAGGGTGATTTTATGTATTTATTTATTTCCATCAACCAACCCAAAAAAAAGTTATGCAAAAGTCAGAGCAAAAACCTACCCCAAATCACCTTATTATTAGGTATACGCATAGGATGTTTCAGAAATTTCACTTTCGCATTTGTTGATGTAGTTTTCAATGTTGATGTTTTATTGATTTCTTTGACAGAAACACACTGACGAGCACACCGATTTTAAAAATCCATTGCACAAAAACTAAGAATTTGATGTTTGATATTTGGGACACTCTGTATACTTTTCTTACAGAACCTGCATCTTGCGCAATTGAAATGTCATAATATCTGAATATAAAGTAATTTTTCGACTCATCTTGCGTAATTGCTTTGGACATTATAGTTAATAACATATAATTTTAATAGTATCATTATTAACTTTATACAATGCGAGACTCGTAACAAATTGTTGCATTCTTATTTTAAATGCTAAACAAACTTCTTTCGAATCTGAAAAATGTAAATTGTAAATATGTATTTGCAAGAATGTTAGTTTATATTATAGACTCCTTTGATTTTTTTTGTATACATTTTTAAGAAGTTTAAAATTTGCATAGCAATAAAGAACTAGAAGCATTAGAGAACTTTTGTAAATTTGTCGTTGATATAAAAATAGGAAAACGTATTCTAGCCGTCACAAACTCGATGACAATGCCAAAAAAATCTTGCAAAAATTTAATTGGCTCTGAATCGTGCATCATTCTTATACAAATAATTAAAATAGCGAGACATAACGAAATAAATTTCATCTATTTATAAAGTCCAGAGCACGCAAACGTCGCCAAATGAAATAATTAGAAGTTTAACATTCGCAACTTTCGAAATAAATTTTTATATGTATACAGTGTGGCTCAAATAATTGTTCCATTATATTATTATTATTAACCGATAAAAGACTGTTCATCAAAATGAGATTTTCAAGTATACAGGTTGCATGGGCCTGGTATTAGTTAATATAGTACAGTTGCGGAATTAAAATTTGTTTAAAGTTGACATCGTCACTTTAAAGAGTTCACTGTTAACTACCTTTTACTGTCATCATGACTGACATTTGACTATTAGACTTATTTTTTTGTTGTTAAAATTGGTTATTAAATGTCTTAGGAAATTTATTAATTGAACTAAGTGTAATTAAATCATTGCTTTGATCTGCTGCCTGCCCGTTATTATGCCACAAATCACTATTTTTGAAAGTAAATAAATCAAAATGACATAAACATGACAAGACTAAAAAATGAGGTCATTAATGTAAAGGTTTAGAGTTTACATTATGAAAATGACAATACTGCCCGAAATTTTAATTCCGCAACTGTACCTCCATGACAGGTTGCTCCAAAATATAATGGGAGAAAATCAGCAACTGATCAATAGCAGTGACGATGTCAACAAAATACGTCAAAATTTTAAATATGACCATTTGAAAAATTAAATTTTGAAATCTTTGACAAATATTATTTCAACTAATGACAATTAAGTTAAATAACAATTAAGTAAGTAATGTTTTTTAAACGAAAAGCCCTGTTTTTTTTTTATTTCCCATCTATGTAGATTTTAATGTTAATGTCGATTTTGCTTAATTATAGATTTGTTTGGGGTCTGCCTACTTTCTTGACCAAATAATTAAACAGGTTGTAATTTCTAATATAGAAAATAAAACTTAAACATTTTACGTAAACTTATTGGACTTTTGTAGCCGCATTTGCTGCCACCACCCCTGAATTTCTCACCCTTTCGGGAAGGGTAGTTTACTCTTACAAAATTTTAGTTTTTCAACGATTTTAAGTGCTAAATATTTTTTTATTGGCAATATTTTACACATAGCTTAAGGACTGTTGGCCGCACTTGCTGCCACCACCCATGAATTTTTCACCCTTTTGGGAAGGGTACTTTCCTCTTACAAGATTTTAGATTTTCAACGATTTTAAGCGCTATTTTTTTATATTGACAATATTTCACACATGTCTTAAGAACTATCAGCCGCACCTGCTGCCACCACCACTCAACCTTACATCCTTCTCGGAAGGGTAGTATGCTTTTGCAAAATTTTAGTTTTTTAACGGTTTTTAGTATCCCAGAATTAAAAAATTGACGAACAAAAAGAAGTCTTCAAATAAACAAAAAGGAATTTTCAAGAAGCGTAAAAAACTAAGTCATCGCTCTTAGAACAATTTACTTGTACCCCGCAGTAAGATGAAGAAGAAGAAGAAGAAGAAGAAGAAGAAGAAGAAGAAGAAGAAGAAAGAAAAGAAGAAGACGAAGAAGACAGTACACTTGAAGTACCATCAGATAACTATAAATCAGACGAATAATTTTCCTCTATATTACTCATAATTTACATCGCTTTTATCATCCCCAATAGTACCATTTGTCATTTGTTACAATATTTCTTAATTAAACAGAACTTCAATAAATCGTGAAATAGGCCTACCGAGGAAACCACGTTAAAAAAACGCGCCAAGTATACTACCTCACAGATGGCGTGGAAACGTGTGCATATTATGAAGAACATAACTTTTTAAATCGCTATATCTCAGAAATGATTACTCTTAGGAAAAAAAGTATCGGAACATTTTGCTCTACAATTTTTGTCTAATGTATTTTTATGATAAAACTTACCGTTTGGCTGAAAAATGAAGAAATCCCATTTTCGCAACGTTTGGCCTTGAATAAGTTTTTTTGCAGATGTGGGATCGATGCGGGCTTTTCACATTTCTTTTATAATGGGGTGTCCAACATTCGTACCAATTTTCAGCTTTATGCGAATTATGGCAACCTTGAATGTGTTCATTGCCCGGTCTAATTAACTACCCTTCCAGAAAGGGTGAGGGGTTGAATTTTAGTGGCAGCAAATGCGGCTATAAAAGTTTAATAAGTTTTTGTAAAATGTTTAAATTTTACTTTTTATGTAAATAAATACAACCTGTTTAATTTTTTGCTCGGCAAATTAGAAATCCTTTTTTCCGTAGTTTGGATTGAAAGAAAAACGATACTAACATATGCAACCAAATATACACTGCCTTATCTGAAATAATACTATCTCACCATTTTTTTTTATCTAAAAACATACTAAATAAACATTTGATATGTTTTTTTTTGTCCCTTGTTTACACAAATGAAAAAAATAAACATTTCTTTAGGTCTTGCAAATTGTTTAGGGTACCTTTTCTTATCTATTTTCTCACGAACAAGAAATTGATAACAAGTGCAACAACAGCACTGATATATTTAAATTAATTAATAGAGAAATTTCAATTTTGTGAAAATATTAACTAATGGTATTTAAGACCATACTGTGATAGAACTTTTCAAAGAGCCTATCAATTTAACCGATCGTCGTCCGACTTCGCCCGAATAAAAAAACTCGTTTCTTGTGTCGGTCTGTTGCAAATTTATTAACGTTAACGAGGTTAGGTTGCATTTCAATATTCTTATGAAAACAAGTAGCAAGTGGTTGGGAACTTGGGAAAATTTAATTTTAAAGTGTTTAAAATTGGACTTGAAACTTGAAAATACAAAAATGGTAAATATTTAACGAGATTTAGTTTTAATCTGGTGAAATAACATGGGATTTTCGGTCGACCTAATTGTTATCAACAATTATTTATACGTCGCTTAGTTAAACATTTCGGATCGATTAAAGAATAAGCCGCCAAGGATACGGCAAATGTTTGTTTATTTGCATTTATTTCGTTTATTAGAATTGTTTTTTCGCAGGAGTGGAGTAACTCATGTCTGTGTGGAGCACCTCTGGGGGCCTAGATCCAGGCAAAACGTTCAAAGCGAAAGGAGACACGACGTTGTACAAGAGGAGCCATCAGGTGAGTGCCATGTTGGAATCACTATCACTAATCCTAATCAAACTTGAAATTCTTGTACTTTGGTTGTTTAATCATTAAATAGAAAAATTGGGTGTTACTTAATTTTCATAATTTAATATAATCCATCTTATAAGGTTGAATAAAGTTACATAATTGTACCTATAATTCAAATTTATCTTGATTCAGTGTTAGTTTTTTCTTAAAAAAATATGAAGTCAACATTTTGGTGTGAGAATGTTAGAACCATGGTATGGTATTGTCGTATCAACAAGAAATTACTCCCTAAAATTTAGGGATATTCGTGAATAGGTTGCCATAAATTTGGTTAGGTTGGTTTCTGGTGACAAACAAAAGATCTTGTAACTAGTGTCAAAATTTAGGTTAAGTCACCTGTCAGCTTGTAGCTTGTATGTATAATTCAATTGATAGTTGACAGAAAACTTCAACCGTCAGCAACAAGTGGTAACCAACCTTAGACATTCAAAATTACTTATACTTATATACTTTTTTTTTCATATTAATGTGCATCAAGTAGGTTGTACAACTCTAAATACATCTTTAATTTAAAGGCTGATTCACACAAAAAGTGTCTTTAAAGTCATTCAGAACAAATTTAATCACATCAATAATGACAAAAATCTTTGTTTTCCACCCTATGTTAATTCCGTTGTTAATGTTAATTATTTTTTGCTTCCTCAAAAACTGGGGAACAGTTAGTTGCAATAAAAACTGAAAATATACAATTTTCTTTAGATTGAAACAAGTTTTGCCCTTGTCAATTTAGTTGTCAATTTGTTTACGTAAAAACCTAATGATTAGTGAGTACTACAGATTAACTGTCAGTTCTAACTTAAACTTTTAGAATTAAGCCATATTCAAACTATGGATAAATATAAAAAATCTGACATTTTTATGCTTTGACATTTTTCGATTTTTTTGCAACCAAGTGTACACATATTTATTTGGGAAAATAATTTTTAGGAAAGATTTAGGTTGGGATTGTTTGAATTTTCGTATGGTTGCCACCTTAAAATACATTAACGAAAATGATTCTGTAGTTACAAATTTTGTTGCGATTAGAAATGACTGGTTTCAGTTGGCAATTCTGAGTTTTATTTTCAAATATGTAATACCACTCTAGTACACTTCCGGTTGTTAACAGTTTGACATTATTGACAGCTTCAATGTGACATTTCAAATTGCATTCAAATTGTATAGAAACTTTACTAACGTTTCTATTAGGTCAAATATTTGTCAATAAAAACCATTTCATATTACAGTTTTGCAATTGTAGAAAAAGAAAATTCTTTCAAATATGGGGGCCTACCACCGACTTCGATGAGTTTTCTCACCGGTGACAAAACTCACGTGCATTTTGTCACTCGCTACTATTGACATTGCGTAAAATGAGAAATCTCACCGATGAGTTTTGTCAACGGTTAGATATTGCAACGTAGCACTTTCGCGCTCGTTACTTAGCAACATAGGTTTTGGCGTTTGACAAAACATTTTTCCCAATTTTTCCATTTTTGATTTTCCAAATCCAAATACTATGAAGGTGACGGAGGAGTAGAAAGAAATTCTGGTCGAGTTTTTGCGGACTCGGACAGAATTAATTTCCGGAAAATTTTCCGCAAGCAAACATAATAAAATAATGAAAAAAACATTATTGGCTTAATTACTCGAGTATGGACTCACTGGGAATCACTGGGCCTTCTCTTTGGACGCATATAAGGTTCCACAACAGTTACAATAAAATTAAATAAGTCTTTGGACACTCGAAACAGCTTGACAAATTGTCTTTCCGGCAATTCCCGAAAAGGATCTCCAACAACAGCTCGCCTCAATGGCACATCTTACTTCTTCTTCCTCGTCCAAATCGTTAATTAAATTGAGCATCATTAAATCATCCATTTTGTGCACTACAAGCAGCGACGAGTTACTACAAGTTTGATTGCAGAATATAGTGCTCAAAAATTTGGTTTATAGAATAACTTTAATAAGCTTTCAAGGAGGAGTCCTGAAAAGGACTTATTTTATATTAAACAAAACGTACGACGCAAAAATAGAAGAACGAAAGACAGGCGAAAAACGATGTAAAGAGTAAACTTTCAAAATTTGGATAACGTCTGCAAGAAATAATAGCTGTGAATAATAGTCTCATCAAGATCAAAAAAGAGAGCGTGTGGTGGGTACCTACCTGCGTTTTTCTTCAAATTTTGTCTGAAATTTAATGATAATAAACCAAAAATATTAAATATTCACTTTTTTTAATTAAACAATTCATATATTACTCATTTAAACCAACAATAATTCTTCATTTGAATTTAAATTACTACAAATGTCAAATCTCACGAGTTTTCTGTGAATCTCACTCATAATAAAGCCCTCGAAAAAACTCACGCGTTTTCATTCGAATTTTGTCACCGGTGAGAAAAGTCATCGCGTCAATAGTAGGGTTTTAGCACTTCTCATTAAAATGACGTCATTTTGGTGACAAAAGTCACCAGTGAGAAATCTCACACGAGTCGGTGGTAGGCCCCCTGTTGTCAACTAAAATACTCATTCTCGGTTACTTTGTACTTTGCTTTTGTCCCTAGAAATTTCTATAAAAATATAGGAAAATGGGAAAAACTGAACTTGTTACAATATTTTTAATGAAATTAGAGAATACAGGTGTCCGGAAATTGCGTGCACAAACTTCTAGGGGTAATTCCATACCTCAGAATATAAAAAAAGTTCCTATGGACATGGGTCCAAAAAAGCTTCCTTAGAAAGTTACCGCCCTGTAAAGGTGGGCCTTCAAATGTGCTTTTCTTTAATTATTTTTGTTAATATTTTAAGTAGAAAAACAAAACCACGCCCCCCGTAGGTTTTTTTAGGATGCTGAATCGATTGGCCTAATTAAAATTTTTGAATTTTTTCAGGGGCGCACCAAAAAATATATTAATTATTAAAATTATTAACTTTCACTAAAATTTTTGTTATTTAACTTGCGTAAACTTATTTGTCAAAGTGACATCGTTTTCAAAAAAAAAATAAAAACGCCAATGTAACGGGATTTAAAAAGCAGAGAAAGTCCAAAATCAAGAGAAACATGAATTTTTCTTTCTACTGAGTTAGAATAATGGAGTTTTAATTACAGATTTGCTCGTTTCAGGTAAAGCAAAAAATGTTTTTCTTCTACAGTTATGGCGTAAAATCAAAGATAAAAAATTATTGATCTTGTAAACTAAATCCGGGGACATACTGTATACTATTGCAAAATGCAGTGATTTAGCTATAAAATCCTAACTCAAACAGTTTTGTTTATCTAAGAATAAAGGTGGATTTATGCTTCCATATTTAAGATTCATCATTTAAGTTTAATTTAAGAATTAACGGATTTGACATTTTACTACATTTTCAAATTTATACTTCTAAATTAACTAAAAAGTACTTAATTTAAGGATACACACAATCTATAAAATATATTCTCTAACAGTTTCGACGAGTGCAACATCTTCCTATTAATTTTTATTATTTTAGAGAAAAGTTTTACTTATCAGTTATCAGTTTTACCGTAAAAATTAAATCTTAAATACTAAAGCTTAAATGTTAAATGATAGTATAAATGTTACCATTGAAAATGCATAATTGATCTTAAATTAAATTAAATCTTAAATATGGAAGCATAAATCCACCATAAGCATTGCAAGCAATTATTTATTAAACAGACTTATCTTGTTGAAGTTTATTTAGCGAGTGCGCGAATTGACAAAATTATTAATCGCCGATTAACAAACGATATTATCCATCTTTCTTTTGTTTTCAGTGTAAAATGTCGCAATCCGGCGACGACCTCCATTCGTCCCAGTATTTATCATGGAGGAAACTCCATCTGAGTCGGGCCAAACTCAAAGCTTCGAGCAAGACGTCAGCTTTGTTGTCCGGTTTTGCGATGGTAGCGATGGTAGAACTCCAACTTCAGACACCCATGACCATTCCAAGCTCAGTCCTAGTCGTATTTGCGATCATTACAACACTGCTAGTAGCAGTCCATATGTTAGCACTAATGATAAGCACTTGTATTTTACCAAATATCGAGGCGATTTGTAATTTAGACGCGATCGGTCTCGTCCACGAGTCACCCCACGAGAGACTCCATTGGTATATAGAGACCGCGTGGGCGTTCTCAACTTTGCTTGGTTTGTTATTGTTTCTGGCTGAAATTGCCATTCTTTGTTGGGTGAAGTTTTATGATATTAATAAAACGGCCGCGTGGTCGGCTAGTGTTGTTCTTATACCAATTTTGTTTGTATTTTTAGCTTTTGCGATACATTTTTATAGATCGCTTGTTGCTCACAAGTATGAAATGACAGTTTCGGGGATTAGGGAGCTTGAAAGGCTCAAAGAGCAGATCGAGCAGGGGGATATTGAGCACAATAGGGTTAATGGCGTCAATGATTTACTTTCAGGTGTGCACATTGTTTAATTTTTCGCTTATTTTATAAATCATGGCTGTGTACGAAGTTTTCTCAAGACGCCACAGTAGAATTATTACGATTGATTGCAATTTTGTATTTATGAAAATGGGTGTAAATATTTTATATAAGGGGCAAGTTTTTTAAGAAATTGAGAACTGTGATCTGTTATATTTTTAAGCATTTTTACAATATTATATTTTTATTGATAACAAATACATTTATTATTAATACCTACATGACTTGATTTATTTCACTGGATAAACTTTCGTGAAGACTTAGACAAGAATGTACGATTTCTTGAAGTGCTTTCATTTCTTGCGTTGCACAGAGATCTTCTACATCAAGCAGTTGGATCTGGAAATGAAGAAATAGTTTCTTACATAACGAACACGGAAAGTGACAAATAACGCACAAGTGGGGAGTATTATGCACGAGCCGTGTTATGTGTTTTATGTACACTATTTTTTCCACGGCTCACGACAAAAAAAACACCATTATTTTCAATGAAAGTTAAGTTGATTTCGGTTTAAATAGTCGGTGGTTTTAATTATACATCTTTGCGTCAATTTTGCAGGATGAAGAAAATAAAAGTCAAAAGCAATGCAACTGGACAACAAACAGCCAATCACGCGCCGAGGGCTTTCCGCCAATCGCACAACCTCTTACGCTATGTTTATAACACACACGTGTGTTAGGAAAGTTATGCGATTCGTACGATATCGTCAACTTTCGTGAGTAATTGACTGTAAGGAAAAGTTATTTTTTTTTTACTTAAATACGTCTCTAACCGAAATTACAACTCTGATTTCTGATTGCCTTCGGGTTTTCGGCATCCGATTCATAATAATCACACGTAAATTCTTTGGCTGTTTTTAGTTTTATTTTGCTATAAGCTAAGCCAAGGTAAATGTGTTTTAAGTTTTAAAAACTTAAATTTTGGTATTTTTCTTTTTTGAATTGACAGACCTTTACACTTTACAGCGGAACTATTGCAATATTAGAAATATTACAAACACACATTCGTAGGCAGTGGTCAAAATCTACATAATACAAGACAACAGAGATTTAAAGTCGATAGGTATATCCAAAAAAAGGACCCAAACATTTTTGGTCGCAAAAAAACACAAAAAAAAAATTTAATTTTGTATCCGCTCCAATTAAACAATATGTTGTAATCTAAAAATTTTAAAGTGTGAGTTATGGACCATGCAGTGAATGGCCCCCTTTATATGTTGTAGTTGCTTAGTTAGCATTTTTATCTTATAAATAGTAGTGAAGCTTTTATTATTCAGCTTTTATTATTCGACATTCTCAATGTATAGTTCGGTGATAAAACTCGTTTCCGAAACTGTGAGTTTTTTCTTTTTAAAAAACCAAGTGCTCTGGCAAACAACAAAATTTGTGCTTATACAGGGTGTTCCGTTTTTATTGTTACAAATTTAAGCAGGTGATAGGATATTCAATTATAAGACAAAAGTTTCCTATAAACATGTATCGAAAAATTCTTGGTAAGGGAGCTACACCCCCTGAAAGGGGATTAATACGTTTTTGCTAATATTTCAGAAACCATTTAAGATAAAATTACAAAATTTGGTACAGATGATAATCTTTATACACCTAAACGAATTCAAACATCAAATGTCAAAGTTTTTAATCAGGGGCGTACGAAACTGGGGGAGTTTAAGGTAAAAAACACCCTATTTATTTTGACTTTAGTTTCTCGGTACTTTCAGCAACAAAGTCTTAAGTTCGATAGTTTATCACAGAAAAGTCTCTCTTGTGTCGATACGACTTATTGTTTTTGAATAAAATTAATTTAAAATTTATGTTACACACCAATACAACATTCAAATAAATCAGAATTTATAGAATAATAAAAACAAAAAATTCATATTTTTTAATCAACCTCAACTAATTAACATTACATTACAGTAACAATAATAACATTAATGAAATGAATTTGCCTAAATCTAAAGGAGTTGTTCAAAGTGACCACCATTTTGGTCAATGCATAACTAAAGAAACTAAAGCCAAAATAGATAGGGTATTTTTTTACCCTAAACCCCACCAGTTTCGGACGCCCCTGATTAAAAATTTCGACATTTGATGTTTGAATTCGTTTAGGTGTATAAAGGTTATCATCTGTACCAAATTTTGTAATTTTATCTTAAATGATTTCTGAAATATTAGCAAAAACCTATTAGCCCCCTTTCAGGGGGTGTAGCTCCCTTACCAAGAATTTTTCGATACATGTTTATAGGAAACTTTTGTCTTAGAATTGAATATCCTATCACCTGTTTAAATTTGTAACAATAAAAACGGAACACCCTGTATACTCGTAACTCGATTGGAGGTGAAAAAACTAAAAACTGATAAATTCTATGGAGTTTAGAATAAAAATATGAATGGATATAAAAAGGCGTATCTTTTCCTATTATGAAATTTTCGCGATAACTGTTAATCACAGGACGCTGATATTTTTTCTGTTAGATAAAATGTGAGGTTAACACCAACAGTTTCGGTGTTACCAGCGGATTTCCTTTATGGCTGTCACTAAACGACGAAAAAAATATTTTTCTCGGATAAACAAAATCCTAAAAATGTTTGACTAAATTTGTTAAAAAAATTAAATATGTTGAATTATTTTATTTATATTCCGCGATAAACGTTTTGTGCATATTTAGCACAAACCTACGAAGCGAAAGAGTGCTTTAAACGGTAGTTAAGTAGGAAATTATTTTTTACCACGACCATATTGATACAAAAGTGACATTAACATAATAGGTAAAATAAAATAGTTTGGTATATTAAAACTACTTATAAGTCTAAAGTGGATGATTTTCAATAAATATTCCAAATTGGGAAATATAGCAAAAAAATATCTCATTTATTTCCCTAAAAAAACTATTTGACCTCAAAAAAATGCAAATTGCGAGATTGCCATTTTCCTGATAGATTTTAATAGGATAAAGAGTTGCTCTAGCAAAACTAGCTTATGTGAGGATATGTGCTAGACGTGCGAAACTTTAGAACACTTTTTTTTAAGTTTTTGATAATTTGCCAACGTTATAGTGTAAAGTACCTAATCCAAATAAGGCCCGGTGCTTAAAAAGGCCCACCGTTAATTTTTCGTCTAAATTGTGAAGAAAATTAAAACCATCTAGCCTACGTTGGACCCCCAACCATCTATCATCAATCATACAAGTTAGGGGAGAGTCGAGTATTGGTGCGCACCTAAGCTAAAATTGTAATATTTCTGAAATAATAAAAGATTGGATTTCTAGGTTTGTCGTCAAGATTCTTCAAGAGTTTGGCAATACAGTTCTGTAGCACCTTTTACATAAAAATACACATTGTGACTTTAAAATACGAAATGCAAAAAAACTAATGGTGCGCATAGGTGGGATAATCGTGCGCATTAAAAACGGAAACAATAACTCAATTTATTGAACGAAAAAATATGCTTATTTATCTAAAAATGCAAAAATACTTTGACCTATAATTAAAAAAAAAAAACGAAATATAAAAGATATGATAAAATAAAAATAAAATAAAAAATGTCACAAAGATCGCAAACATATCCCTGAGGCGTATCTTCTCCCGTGCATAGTGCATGTGCCCATTTTTTACAAACCGAACATTTGGACCATATCTCGTTTTTTATACTGCCTTCCCCGGAAATAACGCATCTCTCATTTTCATCAGATTCGAGATCGTCCAACTCGTCATCGTCATACAACTCACTCTCTGAAATATCTTCAGATTCACTACTTTCTTCAGGTTTCTTTTTGTGTTCTTTTTAGCTTTACTGTCTTTATTGTCTTTTACAATATTTGTGCTTTTTTTACTTTTTTCTTCTTTTTTTTCTAAGCTCTTTTGCCTTTGTGTCTTTTTCGCTGCTGCGGTTTCCAATTTTTCTCTGTTTGGAGATTCTGTTAATATTTCCGACTTCTGTTTCTTGGGATTTTGTCGTTTAGCTGTACTTGGTTTTGGAAAAGGACTCAACTCTCGTGCCTCGTGCGCCCGATTAACCTAAAGTGGAAGATCCATTTTTAAATTATATAAAACAATGAAAAACTTTTTTTCTGTCTAAAACATATTATATCGGTGTTAAAGGGATTCATTAAGCAATGTATTAACGTGTACAATTATTAAAATATGTAAAAATGGAAATACTTACGGCTTATTTTCTGCAAGACACCTATTAGAACACAACATCCGAAAACAACAAAGCGGCCATTTTAGATAAGTAGGGTCAAGCGATGTACCTGACTAATATGTGAAATTAAATAGGTTTATCAAGAGATAACGCCTGAATAAGGAATTTGAAATTATATCAGTGGTTGCGAAAATAAGGGCATGCGCACAATTACCCGCTGCGCACAATTATCCGACTCTCCCCTACTCCTAGATATGTCTTTTGTAAATGGTGAAATATGTTATAAACTGATGCGTCATCGTGTTGGATATTGAAATTAAATATTTCTAATTACATATTAATACATGTTTTGAACTTTCTTTACTTTTTTTGTATTTTTTATGTTGTTTTTGTTTGTTTATTAAAGATTTTTTCCTTAACTTACTGTTAATACGATTAATGAAAAATCCTGTCTCAAATTTTAAATATGGGCCTTATCTAATGTCGATGGTGGGCCTTATTTCGGGCTAGGAGGTTCTAAAGAAGGCCTTTTGTAATATTTTATATTTATGTTAAAAACATGTAGAAAAATTAACAAACCAGGCATTTTTGTGGTACACATTGTTAAACAAAAGTTCAAATTACAGTTTTGATAATAAATCCAAACCTTTGCATATTTCAAAAAATATATAAAAAATCGTAAAAATTAAGTGGGCCTTATTTGGCTAAGTTACCTTAGTAAAAAAAATTAAAAATGTATTTCACTAGACAGGGTGCGCCAGAATTCGCTCCCCAGAGAAAATTTTCAAGTAAGATAAGATACCAGGAACATGGAAAAAATGTTTAAAAAATTCTAAATCTGTAAAAAAAAATTGACATTTGACATTTTTTTATATTTATTTAATGATACTGATGATCTTGTATATGTATGTTTTTTTTTTACAATTATTTAGTAAAGGGACAAAAATTTTGCCAATAAAAGCTACAAATAACATTAACGATTTTTTTTCGCTCCACTGTCTCGTGTTTCAAATAATTTAAAATACTAAAGATGTTTACTCACCTTATGTATCGGATATTTGGTTGGCCGGATGCCACTTTGCCGATATCGTATATCGATAAAAGTGCAAAAAACGCAAACATCTCTGACCCAAACCCCTTGCTGCATCTGTCCCGTAACCAAATGAAGAAACCTTCCTTTCCCATGTTTCATATCTCCAAACCAACTGCCTTCATATCGACTCGTATCCGGTCTTACCAACATCCCCAATCCTTGTCGCACATCCTTAACGAAATCTCCCGCGTAAAAATCCCCCCCTGGATACCACATCAGACCATAACCATGTCTTTTACCATTTTTCCAATCCCCTATGTAGACACCTCCGTCTCGGTATCTCCTCAAACCGAAACCATGCATTTTCCCTCGCCTCCAATTTCCTCGATATTCGAGCAAGAAGAAATTGTTTTCGTGTAAATAAGCCAAAACTCCGAAACCGTGCCGAAAACCATCCTCGAAATCACCTTCGTATAATTGCCTATGGCGTGTTAGCAGCGCACCCTTTCCTACGAATAAATTGAACACCAATTTAGTTAAAAGTAAAAAGTACGGACCTGTTTTAAAATCATTCCGCCACTCTCCGATGTATTTATCACCGACTATGTTGAACACTGCATGCCGAAGACCATTTTTTTTCGAGTTATTTTCGAGCTCGTGTGACCTGGAGATTTTCTTTCGTTCCTTCAGAAACGGCATTTTTAATTTTGGGTTAATCAATAAAATATTTGTGATTTATGATCTGCCACATAGTGTTATGTCAATAAATATAACATGCGACAGACACGGACGATCAATTTCGATTTCAGACAAACTTTAACATCATTTCTTAAAAAAATCAGTTTTGACAGTATTACAAAATTTTGAAAACTAAAGTGTTGTCAACTTGACACACATGGTTGCAATACTGCGTCCCACCAAGGACCGAACTAAAAATAAACAAAATAAATGAAAATAGTAGGTAGAGTCCGTTTTTCTAAGAGGTACATGGGCAGGATCGAAAATCTGCGCGAACTTTTAGAGAAGGGAGCTTAAATCGCTTGCCAGTGGCGTAACATACGTGGTGGATATAAAAAACTCGTACAGCCAAAATTTTAATATTGTAAATCAAAGTCTGCAGTGCTAGTCAATACGATAAAATGGGTTTAACTYAAWCMCAAAAACAMACTATAGCACGAAATTTAAGAGACGGAATTTCGATAAGGGCAATTGCTGCTGAGGGTGATGTTCAGTAGARTCAAATTTGAGCGATTTTAACATCTGAGTCCGTCCTATCAAYTCTATCCAAACATAACRTTTTTTAAAAAAGCAATGTTTACACAACTCAAATTTATAATTTTCGGATCTGTTCTTCGTCATCTGTGTATGATTTTTTTTAGCCAACCATGGTACATTTGTTATTAATTATTGAACATTTTAATTTTGAATAATACCCGTAAAATAAAAGATTTAACAATGTTCACAATAATTTTGCATCACATTCTTTACGTACAGTGATGGACAGTGAATTTCGTCCACCCAATTTCTGTGAATTCACAAAAATTCACTGTAGTCTGTGCTTTATTGTCATGATAACTGACATTCAAATACGTATTGTCAAATTTAATCAAATTCGAACATACCAGCAGTAAGTGCGTTTAATAAAATAAAAATTATCTCTCTGGTACAAGAAGGTATGTCTCAAAGACGGGCCTCTATACTTTTGGGCATACCCAAGGACTACCATTTCAAAGGACAAAGGTAAAAAGTAGCAAGAAGCAACGAGCATTCTGTCAACATGACAAACGTTAATCAAAATTCTAAAATAAGGTTAAAAAACCTAAAGAATAATTTACACTTTTAATCTGTCAGGGAAATTGGGTGGACGAAATTCACTGTCCATCACTGTACCAAATAAAAGCTTGAAATATTAAAAAAAATTGTTTGTACTTACCAAAATACACAATTAACAATTAACAAAAGACGAAAAAAAAAACAATTTGATTTATGCTTGCTAATGGCCGTTTGTTTGTTTGGTAGGGGTAGGTAAGTGTAAGGAAAATTTAAGTACGCTACTGATGACATGCAACCCCTACGTCAAGCATGCGCGTTACAAATTTGGTCTTAAATGTGTTACTGGGCCATTATATTGGTGTGTACCTCTTAGAAAAACGGACTTCTAGTAGAATTCTAAATGAATCATTAATTTAAAAGCCGATTTAGACAGAAAGTGTCATTAATGTCATTCAGAACAAATTTAATCACTTATAATTACACGAGAGCTTTTTTTTTTCGAAGTAAACTTGACATTTTAATGAGAATTTTGTTTCCTCGCAATTTAACGAAAAAAACTGCATCTGAAAAAATTACGAGTCCGTAGGACGACAATTTAATGAATACGTAAATCACTAAATTAACAAATAAGGTGTAAATTAGTTTATTTAATTTAATGGAAAGTACAATTATTAAAAACACAATTCTCATAAACAATTTGATTTTCAGAACTTTCTTGTTTTTTGTTAATAGTTTGTTGCATGGTAGTATTTTGAGCAGTGGTAGTAACTGTTTCCTGGATGGTAATACGAATGGACCCAATAATTTCTCTATGATGTTCTTGATCTAACTGAAGGTACGGTTTTAATGACGATGGATTGTTGTTGTTGATGGCTTTTTCAATTTCTCCACTCGAAGATTCTCCAAAGGGCGACATTTTCACAGATTAGATACTGAAAACGCAAGTTTGAGAAATGTTTGTTTACAATTTTTTTTTTGGTTGTCTAGGGACCGATGATGCAGACCTACTAAATTCAGACGCTTTCAAAAGCTAGGTTCCGTTTTGTCGCTGTAATAGTTAGGGCAAACTTTTGTCGCTGGCATAGTAACAAAAACACCGCGGCCTATGGGATTTTTAATGTATGAAAAAAATTGTCACATCAATAATAACAAAAGTCTTTATGTTTGCCAGGGGCGAATTCAGGAATTAATTTTAGGGGGGGCTTATCTAAAAATTTTTCAGGTCAATTTTCTTTTTAAAAAATACAAAATTTTTAACTTGATTTCAAATTGTATCTTTGTTTTTTATTGATATTATTTCACTAGTCGCTGCCGTCATTACCCAAAAACCAAAAAGTGTGGAATTTTAAAACAAGTTGAAAATTGTGAATTTTTAAAAAGAAAATTGACCTTTTCGAGCATTTTTACCAAAACGAAATATTTTCTGTTTTAATAAAATTATTCCATAAGTTTGCCGCTCACTCTATAAGGTGTTCTAGCGAGTTGGTCAAACAGATATAAATTTAATTTAATTAGATACCTAAGATGTGCCCCAAAGAAAATTACAATAGATGATTTCTTTTTAAATTAGTAAAAATTAAATAAGTATCGAGAGATCAAGATAATTTGTAATCGACTCGTCCTTGTATCCGAAAACGTATGTCCTGTGCGTATGTCTATGAAACGTCAAATAAAATGACAAGTGGAAAGGTAAAATCCCATGATCAAAAAGATGATGCTTTTAATAATTAAATTTATGATTTACCTTCAAAAAGCATTGAAGCTTTCGATGGCAAGTTTCATTTACGCCTTTGATCCAATTTAAATTAGGATTTTCAAGTTGAATCTAAGTTATCATCTTATGTCACTCTGACATTAGTGCAGAGAACGATCATTAGTGCCGTTCAGTTCTCGCGGAATGATAGACAAATTAGAAGTCTTTTCAGTGTAAACCCAACACAAAATGTATGAAAGAATGAAACATTAAAGGTAGGAAAACAGTTTATTTATAAATCATCAATTGCTTGTCAAAGCACTGTCAGAGCAACATAAGATAACTTGGATTGCAAATGCAAATCGTAATTAAAATTAAATTAAGACGTAAATGAAATTTGTTTTTTGGGTTGCATCGTCAGAACGTCGGGCTCATTATCTTATCTGAATCACCCTGTATAAGGAAGCCACATCCCCTGAAACGGGTGCACCTTTTAATGGATTGTTTCCAATATTTCAGAAACCATTGTGGATAAAATCACAAAATTTGGTACAACTGATAACCTTTATACACCCAAACGAATCAAAGATAAAATGTCGAAATTTTTACTCAGGGGCGTCCTAAACTGAGGGGTTTAGGGTAAAAAGTACCGTAACTATTTTGGCGGTTGGTTTTTGCCACTTTCAGCCACAAAATTCTAAATTTCATAGTTTTTCATAAAGAAGAGGCCTCTTGCGTTTTTTCGATAAAACTTACCGTTTTTGAGTAAAATCAGTTTACAATTTGTCTTACAGACCATAAAAGGATAAAAATTAAAAATTAAATTTGTTTTACCGCTTAAGAGACCCGTGATTAAAACTTTCGATAACTGATCTTTAAATTCGTTCAGGTGTTTAAAAGTAATCAGCTACACCAACTCTTGTAATTTTATCTATTCTGCAATACTGAAAAAACCCATTAAAAACGCATCTCTTTCAAGGGGTGTAGCTCGCTTACGTAACAATTTTTGATACATGTTCATAGGAAACTTCTGTCTTAAAATTGAATATTCTATCACCTGTGTAAGTTTGTAACAATAAAAACGGAACACAAGTTCCGTACAAGTACAAGTAGTATGTATGGGCAATATTGTGTTTTTTTAAATTACTTATTAATTACTGTGTTAATTGGAAAACAATAGGGAGCACTAAAACAATGGACCCTATATTTATTTGCTATGAGGGGTAAAAATAATGGTTAGGGTGGATAAACGTGTCCGCTTTATAAGTCACCCGCTATAATTATTTATTATTATTAGTTGTTTAATTCTGTATGTGGGATTTAAATGACCGCAGATGATAAGAGAAGAGGGGCTGATCTTTACAAATGGCTGTAATGTGGAGTACATGTCATGTTTATGTCTTAATATAATTGATTAGGCGTAAATAATACTATCCACCCTATATCTACACTGGCGGACACGGAATTTTGGACGATTTGTCATTCGACATTCGACTGTAAAACGGACCTTAAGCAACTAACCTCACTTTCAGTTTTTGTAATTTTTATCCTGATAGCTAGAGAAAAAATGAAAATAAATCAAAATAATTTATTATTTTGCTATTATAAAACACGTACCTACTGCTGGCATTCCAAAAATAAATTTCAACTAAAACTTTCAAATTTTAGATTTAAACGTCAATCATAATGACAATAAAGCGTGGCTTACATTGACATTTTTTGAACTGACATAAATTTGATGTCCATAATTCCGTGTTCGCTACTGTATCATCACTTTTAGTTATGCGACGAGTATGAGTGTAAATTGGACGCTTTATTTCACCGAGTGGATTATTGAACTACGAGTGTTAACGAGGTGGAATAAATGATCCGATTTACACTCAAACGAGTTGAATACAACATTTTATTCTTCGAATTCGACTCAGCAAGGCTTAAAATTGCTTTAAATCTGTCTTTTAATAAGATTTAGAAAAAAAATAGTCAACATAAAAGCAACAAGATACATCTCTTTTTACCATATAAACTAAAAGTAATTATTTAGCAACGACTTTTGATTTACCCACGTATTATAGTCTTATCGCCGAAACAATACATAATAAATGAACATAAACATTTCAAGCCAAATATCGAATTTAAAAAAAATTAGAAGCACACTTCTCGTATTTTTTAACAAAATTTAAAAATGGAAATAAAACATATTTTTATTTTTGGCTTCCCCTAAAATTTGACCGCTCGTCAAAAATTTTTCAATTTTTGTTTTTTTTTTATGTAAAAGTTTGTAGTTTTTATCTATTTTAATGAAAATCTAATATGTTTTTTCTAATATGTCTTTTCTATTAGTTGAGTTGCACCCAGTTATCCAACCAACATAGCTCAAGTCGAATTTCGGAGAGAAATTTCCTCTTCGGCAAGTCATTAAAACATTACTTTATAAAATTTTATATTTCATATTACTTTACAAAAAAATTATATTTAAGATTTATTCAACATTTTGGTAGCACTGTAAAACAGTTATTTTTATTGAACAATTAGAATCGCGTATTTTTCGAATCGAAAAAATTTTTTGCAAGTTTTTTTCTTGCAAAAAAACCTTTGATAAAGAAAAGTTTCGGTCACGTCTTGGTGTACATTTTACCAGGTAAAATTAATTCTAATGTGATAAAAGGAAATTTTGGTCACGTCTTTTTCTAATGTGATTTTTCAATTTTCCAACTACTTTTCTAAATAGTTGTTTTTTAAGGTTAGTCCTTGGTTTGATCAAAAAGATGAGCAATTTCGATGTGATTGAATTCGGATTTCACAATGCCGATGAAACAATTAACTTTGGAACCCGCAATTTATCGGATGGAGACAATTTGTATGAAGCCATCACATTAGCCACCCTTAAATCTTCCACAGGGGTTGAAGTGACAAGTAATCATTTACACGAATACTTATTTTGTATTCGCCTTTGAGTGTTTTAATGGTTTTCAGTGCTACCAACAATTCAAATAAACTATCTCTATGCAAAACGTATTGTCTTTGGAAGAAGATGTCATCCACGTCGGCAATTTTCATCAATTCGATTATTTTTTCCGTTAATTTGATGGCATTGGTTGGAAAATCGCTCCTTGAATGTTGTTCCAAATTATACACTTTGTTGCGTGTCCATGTAATGAATAAAGAAAGAGTGGATGGGTGGTGCGTAAGTGTGCGTGGAATAAATGTTGATAGAAACGACTGACAGGTGGATAGTGATTGCTAAAAAAATCTATTTAATCCAAATCCTACATATAATAATATTAATTTACTTACCATATTCAAAATGCTTAGAACGTCTGAAATTTTTTCATTTGTTAGGGTTTCTATTGTCGACTCGTCTAGGCGGCTATAAATCATTTTGGCTTCGTCGATTTCATGCTAAAAACATAGTGACTTTATTTTTATTATTTTTTTTTTCATATAAATTTAAATTGTAATTAAATGTTCTGTCCTATACGCACAGGAAATTATACAGTGAGGATTTTATTTCGATGAACATGCGTTTCCATGTTCAGTTTTTAAATATTGGTGTCAATACATGTCGCAAGGGTTGCTTGGATATGTTGTAGTTGCTTGTAATGTATTGGCAATTTTTTTTTAACTAAACATAGAGTTAATAGTGTTGATGTACAGCAAAATACAATCCTCACTGTATAATTTTATAGTCATAGTTGTTTTAGTTTTAGAATCCAAAACTGTAAAACAGCTTCTATTTATGTATTTCTAAAATGTAGGCTAATGCTTTCTAAAGAAACTTGAATTATTTTTTAAACATGAGTTCATTTTTACTTTAAGTAAAAGAAAAAAATACTGCCAAAAATTTACATTTTATTATTATTTATCAAACAGTGAAAGCGGGAAGTTGATAAAAAATACAGTTTCAATTAGAAACGTGTTTAAAATTTCCACTTTTTCAAATTAAAAAAAATATTACTTGAAAGATACAGTCCTACCAAAAATGCTTAGTGGATTTGGATTCTTCAGATTATTTTACATTAGACTTAATCATGAAACACCAAAAAATATTAGACCGAAAATTATAAAAATCTGCATATTATTACTCGTGCAGCATTTTTCGTTCGAAGAACTGTATTTCAAAAGGTATTGCGACCTAAAATTTTTAGATTGACACATTTAACAATTGAAAATAATACTTTTCTTCAAACATTAAACAGGATATCCAAAAGTAACCAGTGATAGAATATGTCATTCTAAGAAAAAAAAATTAAATTCCATCATGCTTTTCACAACCAAATTGGAAAAAAATCTTGTATAAAACAAGATTCAAAATAGCTTTTGCACACGTTTTTAGTAACATTTTTTACTTTTTTATCATAGACGATTTTGGTTCAGAAAAACGAAATTTAAAACTTTTATTTTTTTTATTTTTTTTCTATTGATTATTGTTTTTTAGAATGTTAAAAAAAAATGTAACGACGCACATGTTAAAGCGTGATAGCTTAGCAAAAAGTAATAATAAATTTTGTTCAAATTGACATATTTAAAACGATAACATCTATGAAACAATTGCTAAGTTTAAAGCTTAAATTATTGAAAATTCCAGAACTCGGAGATAGACAAGATCGAGTCGATCTTATACAAATTTATCGCATTACATATTCTTTAATGCCAGAAACTACTGATACATTTTTAAAACTTGCTGACAGTTCAAGACTTCGAGGAAATAAATTTAAAATACAAAAAGAGGCATTTAAAACCACTATGCGCCAACACTTTTTAACAAACAGAAGTTTTAATAATAAGTGGAACAAATTAAGCAACCAAATTGTTGAGACTGAAAATGTGTATTTCTTTAAAAAAAATTACGACAATTTTAACAAATATACTGTTAATATTATTTTTACATTAATATACTTATTATTACGACTTATACTTATTTGCTCACAAATATACAAATATTTTGAAAAGCGAATTTTTAACTTTGTACTAAATCGCATAATAGGACATCCTCTGCGATTTATAATTTCATACTAATAATAAATAATAATAATAAGTTCCAAGTCTCATTTAATTAATACCATATTGATACTGTCAGTGTGACATAAACATAAATATGAGTCGGAAAACGATTCATTTATAAAATAAAAAAAACTATCTACTTGGAAAAAATTGAGAATTAAGTAAAGACATAATAACTACAAAAATTGTTCAAAAGGCCTCTTCAATTGAAAGAGACTTGAATCTAAGCAATTGCTTCATATTTTCATCGTTTTTATTTATCACGACTTGTACAAAATTCATTGTTACTCTTAAGTTGTAAGTCTTTAACGAATGCAGAAAAACAATTGAATTTTCTTCCTCTGAATAACATTTTCTATCACTCGCTTTACTTTTGGGACACGTGTATGCATTGTTCCAAGTCTGCAGGACCCTTGAAAGTGCGATAAACGTAATTTGGTTTAATTTTGAAACTCACGTTTTTGACGATATTTCGTAATTTTTTTTGAATTATTTTTTTTTCAGTTGATTGATTCGAAACTACCCGAAATTTTGCGGTTTTATCGAAACCAATAATATAGATTTTGACAACACTGCCTTTGCGATAAATAACTCGTTTCGTCGTCAAAATTCGACAAATAGAAAAGTGCGCGTTTTTTTCGAAACTTAAGACCTACAACACACGCAAATTTTTCAGATCTGAGATTATTGAGATTTTAAAATTTTCATCGGAATTTTTCGGAATTATGGATGATATTATTTTCCGATCTTAGGAAATAAAGATCTTAGCTCACTGACTTATAATTATCGAGAAAATAGCAAAAAATCGGCAAAAATCATCCATTTTTAAATTTGTCAAAAATTAAAAATTAATTGTGAGATATTTTTATTACGGTTTTCTCGTAGTAGCCGCTTGAAAAAAGTAAAAAATTCTAGTTTTCTCGGTTTTGGCGAATGTATAATCAACGTTTCTGGACGGAGGACCAAAAACGTCATTTGGTTTAGTTGTGAAGTTTTCAATAATGTTTTCAAAATTTTCGCCAATTAACTCCGGAACTATCGGTTATGTTTGATATCGTTAAAAAATTCTTTTTATTTCCCGTCTTATAAAAAAAATAAATATATTATTTAAAAAGTAACCATTTTCAAAATAAATAACACAAATCTATCATGTACCTTTTTAAAGTTTTCCTTATTATAACAAAAATTTTAACCAAAAATTTACTTACGTTTTGCAAAAAATATTTGACTTCAGTTAATAGATCAGCTTGGGCAAATTGTTGTCTCCAAAACCAAGTCAGCGCCTGTGTAAATCGCCCTAAAAGTCTGAAATCTTTCCATGTTATCAATTACACGTTTTTGCAATTCTTCAGCATCCTTGTCTTGTTTTTTCAACTGAAGTGTAGAACCATATTCAAGAATTTTGCGAACATCCTCAAATGTCGAACACGAATATGCCCTGAAATTATTTGATTTGAAGAAAATATTACAAATTTTCAAAACTTACTTGTTAAAGACAATTTTATATCCATTCGTGCAATCAAGTAAATACAATGTGCCACTCCTGAGACAAATTAATAGAAATTCTCCGTTTAAGGAAATACAAAAGGAGTCTACAACTGCATTAAAAGTTGCATCGAAAATGACACTGGAACGAACACTGTTTGTCTTCAAAAATCCGCATCGAATTATCAATGTTGAAAAAAACGGAGCCATTCTTCACAATAGCATTGATGTAAGGGTTTGATTGTGCCTAAAAAAATGGCAAAAATGGCAAAACACCTCAAAACAACAAGATGTGGACTCACTTCAACCCCTGTGGAAGATTTAAGGGTGGCTAATGTTATGGCTTCATATAAATTGTCTCCATCCGATAAATTCCGGGTCCCAAAGTTAATCGTTTCATCGGCATTGTTAAATCCGAATTCAATCACATCGAAATTGCTCATCTTTTTGATCAAACCAAGGACTAACCTTAAAAAACAACTATTTAGAAAAGTAGTTGGAAAATTGAAAAATCACAGTAGAAAAAGACGTGACCAAAATTTCCTTTTATCACATTAGAAATAATCGTACCTGGTAAAATGTACACCAAGACGTGACCGAAAAGAAGAAGAAAAGAAAAAAACTTGCAAAAAAATTTTTCGATTCGAAAAATACGCGATTCTAATTGGTCAATAAAAATAACTGTTTTACGGAGCTACCAACATGTTGAATAAATCTTAAATACAATTTTTTTGTAAAGTAATATAAAATATATATTTTTTTTAAATAACGTTTAAGTTTAAATTAAATTAATGACTGGCCGAAGAGGAAATTTCTCTCCGAAATTCGACTTGAGCTATGTTGGTTGCATAACTAGGTGCAACTCAACTAATACAAAATACAAAAAATAAAAAACAATTAGGATGAAGAAACTTATCTCTTGGTACGAGACATCTGTTTTCCAGAAGCACCAACGGATAAAACGTACTCTCAGTTAATTAAAACCATTTCTAACCATTTTAAACCGGTGAAATCGTATTTCTCACAAAGGTTAAAGTTTTATTCCGCAAAAAAGTCACCACAAGAAAATGTAGCGACGTGGAGTGCACGCGTGAAAAGTGTAGCAGCTTCGTGTGGGTTTGGCGAGGAACTTGAT